CAAATCAGCTATTTTCTGAGCAGCTCCTACATGTCCCATACTATGCCAGAGGCTGAAGAGCATACTGAATTGAGGAAGAAAGTCTCTGTCCTTAGGTGGCTGAACTTAGTGAAGCAGCTTATAAAGTATAGCTGCTAGCCAACAGTAACATCACCACCTTTGAACTGTTAGAAATGCAAATTCCTGTGCCTCTACTCCAAACTTATGAAATCAAAAACTCTGGAAGTAGAGCCCATAATACTGTTTATACAAGCCCTCCAGGGGATTCTAATGATTGATTTTGAGAACCACTAAATTAAGAGGACATGTGGGAGAACCAGCTCCCCTCCCTCTGCCCACCCGCCAGCCAGATCAAAAAGGAAAAAAAAAAAAGTGCACTAGAGGGTTGGTGAGCCTGTAGCTCAGTTGGGAAGTGCCTGAGGATCAGGAAAGGTTCATTCATTTGTGTTCATGCAGCACTTACTGTTCTTGCCCAGTGTGGCAGGCATTGTGCTGGAGAACCCAGAGATAAAGAGGTGACCTGTGACACGAGTGCCATAATATGAATACTTGTGTGTCCCCCAAATGCATGTGGAAACCAACTCCCCAATGTGACAGTATTCAGGGGTGAGAGGTAACTGTTTGAGGGTAGAGCCCTCATGAATGGGATTTATATCCTATAGAAAAAGTCTAAGAGAGTCTGTTGGCCCCTTCCACCACATGAGGATGCAGTTACAAGAATGCATTTATGAGGAATGGGCCTTCACCAGATACTGAATCTGCAGGCACCTTGGACTTCCCACCTTCAGAAGTCTGAATAATACATTTCTGTTGCTTATAAGCCACCCAATCTATAGTATTTTATCATAGCAGCCTGTACTGGGTTTGTAAGAAAGCAAGGAGCTGAGTAAGCACATCTTTATTGTACCCTGATTGTAAAAGGAATGAGAAATGACAATAATCAAAAAATATTATTGTTTTAAATAGCAAAAAACACAAGTCCAAAATGTGAAGAATCCCTTAAATTGTTCCCTTCACTTTAAAGCCCCTTAATTTAAGTTCAGATATATTTCTGAATAATGATATGTGTGACATAATATCTTACATATTACACTAGCAACAGGCATCAGCCCCCTAAGTTCTTAGTATACATTTTGTTCATGAGTTATTCATTCTTATAGGGAACAGACACATGAGTGGTGGGAACATGAAGTTAAGAGAATAATTCTATAAAATGGGTCTACTGCTTTCACTTTTAAAAGGCAATTTACCTGCAGCCATGCCTGGCTCAAGTGGACAGGACATGTCACATTCCTCAGCAAACTACTTGTTATCTACAGGAGAAATGTAAGCCAAAATAATGTTGATAAGGGGAACACAAGTTACCCAGAAGAGGGAGACCTTTATGACTCTTTCATAGACCAAATCTGATAAGGATAAGATAAGGATGATGCCCCCTAGAATAATAAAATCTGTAAGAAGAGGTTCCAGTTAGAACCAGTCAAGTTGGGCCAAAGTGACCTAGAGTTGTGTGGCAGTGGGGACTTGAATGTCTGATGTCATCCTGCTGTCAGTGGAAAGTCAAGAGGTGGAGCTGATCTGAATTCTCTGGAAACTTCCCTAGGATTCCTAATAAACTGTAGGACGGGGGATACACTGTCCCCTCCTTTCTGAGAAGACCCACTCTCACCTTTGAGTGTGTCCCTTTTCCCCTTTCCCATTCTTCTAATAAACTCAGGCCTATAACTGAGCACATTGTCTGAAATCTTTGACTTGATTATAAGAATCAGTCGGTGTTTGAAGGGGAGCCTTCATGCTGCCTCAGCTTCCTGGAAGGCCTCAGCACTGTAACAACTCCACAGTTATTTAGTGAGTACCTACTAAGTACAAGCAGGATGATGCTAGTGAGCCAGGTGAAGGACTCAGAGGAAATGCAGGGGACCTCTATTTTCTAGAGGAACTTACCAGCTAGTGAGGCAATGATTCCAGAGAGCTGAGGGTTGGTTCCCCTTAGTTTTGTTCTTTTCATCTATAGCTACCCAATAAAAATGTTAATAAAACCTGACCATCTTTGAATGAACTGAAAGTTGTCACAATGCTTAGCTTCAAGTGTAGAGTGACTTCTGGTTACTATCTAAAACTGTCAGGTAATATGAATAAACTTCAGTCTACAAACTCAGATGTGTAAGAAACTTTTTTTCCTATAACAGAACCTTCCTTCTCTTTGAAGCCTATTTTCTGCTGCAGAGATATCAATCTTCTCAATATGAGACCCTCCCCTTTACCTTGAGGCTGTGCCTAGGTTGGGAATGATCTTAAGGATCCAGAAGAGAAGTGAGAGACATTAGGTCCTCAAATCACTGGTCCTATAGGAATCTGAGTTGTTCTGCCCACCATGATTTCCATCTTTTGATTTCAGGCTTGAGGGTTAGGATGTCTGTGGCTTTCTTGCTATGTGGTATGGCTACAATCTCTGTGAGGCAGCCTTTTAACCTGGACATATTTGAGGATATCTCCAAGGCTTTTTTTAGAAATGCAAATTCTAGGGCCTCCCCACCAATCTCCTGAAACAGAAAACTCTGTCTAAAACATAGCCATCAGACTACAAAATTCTCCAAGATTCCACTCTCAGAGATTCTGTCCAGGACAGAGTGAGCAGGCATTACAATCAATCTTTCTTTCCTTTGGAGGTGGGAAACTCATAGTTCCTGCTCTCTTAATATTATTATCATTATTTGCCTCAATTAATGATTTCCTCTGTACCGAGATTTTTGCTTCAGTCATCTAGAATAATACTAGTGGATTTGTTCTACACAGGAAGTACTTTTAAACTGGGAAGTACTGGGATGGGAAAAAAAAAATAGACAAGATTTGATCTACCACAAAACATTTTTGCAGATGAAGAAGTTGAGGTGTTAGGTTATGTGATTAGTCCAGAAAACCACAGGGAAAAAGAGTACAGCAAAAACTTATAACCACATTTCCAGACTGTTTGTTTCCCTCTTGTACCATCATCCTGTCCTTCTCTCCCTTCATGAAAATGCCTATGTAGAGGCAAAAGAGAGGCATTTGACATACTTCAGCTCCAATTGTTACAACACTGTGAGGTGGTATTACAATTTCATCTCAGAGATAAGGAAGCTACAGCTAAGAGAGATGAAGTGTTTGTCTTAATGAGAGTAATGCAAATCTGGAAAGCTGCCCTTTCTCCCCTTCTCTAGACTGCTTCCTATGACCAAAAACTTTCAAAAAACCACTTACTGGTTCTTAATCATTTGTTCTATAAACGAATGTCATACAATTTCTACTCCTTTGACCATTCTTCACAGAAGCAGCACAGCATTTTTCTATTGAAGAGATCAAGGCTGAGACAAACTCACCTAAGGTCTCTATGCAGAAGAACAAAATTTGAACTGAGATCTGCTTTCAAGTCCAGGTTGTCTCCAAGGCTTTTCACTTTTTCCAGTGAAGGAAATGGAAATGAAAATAGCACTCATGCCAATTTCATTATTGTTGTTACCAGGGCACTTAACCACTGAGTCACAGCTCCAGACCTTTTTATTTATCTTTCTTAATTTTGAGACAAGGTCTCACTAAGTTGTTTAGGGCCTCGATAAATTGCTGAGGCTGGCTTTGAACTTGTGATTCTCCTCCCTCAGCCTTTTGAGCCTCTGGGATTACGATGTCTGCCACCACATCCAGCTCACTATTGTTATAAAACTATCAAACCAGATTTTGGATAAGGAATGTCTTGATGTCAATACCATGAAGCTAACACACTTAAGGACATTCAGCACAGTTTTAAGACTCTGGTCAATTTGGTGCAAGTCACTGAAAATCTTTTTTTTTTTTTTTTTTCAGATTAGTTTCCTCTGCACTAAAATGGAAGAAGTAGGCTTTTTTTTTAAGACTGAGTAATTTTTAAATTTAATCTCAGCTCCGAAAATTCAGTTTCTATATATAAAGTACACAGACATAAATGACTCAGAAAATCTTCAAATCATCTTTCAGTTTTATTTTGTTGTTTTGCTTTACTGTCCCACTTTATTTTTCAGGACTCTTTACAGGTTTATCTTTTTGGCATCCTCAGAGTTGTTCACATTTTTGTGCAAGAAAAATTTCCAATAAAACGATACATCAAAGAGGATGCAAGTAAGTACTCAGAACATGTTTGCAAATGTTAAGTCATAAATGTGCATATATTGGGAGAGTTTTTAGTCAATTATATTAGACCATATTTGACATATATAATCCGTTTAAACTAAAAACTGTTACTTCATTATAGTTAAGTGTAGAGGAAATTTACTTTAATCTTAGTCTTGCTGCATGCTCAGTCTGTGATCTTGAGCAAATTATCCTTTAAGAAAAAAAAAAAACATATTTTAGTTGTTGTGCGTGGACACAACATCATTTTTTTTTTTTTAATGTGGTGCTGGAGGATCGAACCAGTACCTCACACGTGCTAGGCAAGCGCTCTCCCACTGAGCCACAACCCCAGCCTGCAAATTATCCTTTCTGTGCCTCAGTTTCCTCGCCTGAAATTTTTTTTTTAAAAAGGCCATTTAGAAATTCATGCCTCTGTGACTGTGGAGAGGATTTGGATAATCCATGTAAAATGCAACAGCAGGCACATAGTACACAAACGTTTGGCTGCCCCACTACCGGCGCTTCTCAGCGGGCCATTATTCTCAGCGCTGGTTAATGCAGATTATCAAACGCTTGAGGGCTTGTTAAACCCGAGGCGCTGGGGTTACAGGGAATCACTGAAATAGTCTCGGGCATTATTGGACTAACGTTGTTTAGAGGACGATTAAGAGACAAATGACAAGAAGTTGAATTTTAAAAAAAGGAAAAGACAAATCTTGGGACGTGTCGTATTTGGGGCACGGCGTATTTGCCCTCTCGGCCTGATTCCTCGAGAATCCCTTTAGCCTCTGCCACCGGAGGTCACGGGAGGCGCAACCAATCGTGTCCGGCTCGGTGAACTTCGCTTCCCCCCAGCTTCCTGCAAGACTCGACGTGCCCTTTGTCTCTCTGTCCGGCATCCCTTTCTTTGCCCGGTTTCCCGGGAGCTTCTGCTGGAAGGCGACAGGCCCCACACCCTACCTGTCAGCGTCGGTAGTGGCGGGCTCCCGACGCAGTCAGAGTGACGACACGCGCAAGTCTCCGCCCCCTACACGTCACTTCCGGGACGCTTCTCTCGCGGAGCCTTGTGGGTAGCCGGCCAGGGGTCTCCTGGCGACGACGATGGCGGGGGATGTGGGCGGTCGCAGCTGCACGGACTCGGAGCTGCTGCTGCACCCGGAGCTATTATCCCAGGAGTTCCTCCTCCTTACCTTGGAGCAGGTCGGCCGCGCGGGGCGGAGGACGCTCGCGGCTGAGCTGGCCCCAAGCAGCCCCGGTGACGGCGGGCCTTCCCGCAGCGGTCGCTCCTCCGGTGGGGTTTGGGCCACGCTCCGTGCA